TTGTGGTTTTCTAAGTCAATGTGCAGCTCACAGAGATACTTCCATTCAAGTCTGACACCACTATTATAAGAATTAAACTAGCTCACCAAGGTGCCAGACTTAGCAAAGGAGGAAAGTCAGAGTAGGGACAATGGCCTGGGATAGTAAGGAGGTAAAAGGTCAATCACATAAAAGAATTTCATAGTTTATCAACACAGGAGTGGAACATGTATAAGTGATGGTGAGGTCAAGGTTAAGACCATCTCTCTGGGTGTGAGAAAGAGAGATAGAGACAGAGTGTAGGAGTTGGGGTGAAGCAGAAGATGGTGAGCCAGGCACTGAACTCATTAAGAAAGAAAGAAGAACAACCTGGCAGTTAAGGGTAGGTAACAGAAATCAGGCTTTGAATTTCATCATATTTACAGCATGGACCTCAAAGCAGAAGAGGTTCCTATATGATGGTGGCAGGGGGAGAGTCTGGAAGTGGTAACGGGGAGAAAGCAGTATTCTAAGTCAGCAAAACAAGAGAAAACCTATGAAGTGTTGGAAGAGTGGCCAGGAGGGAGCTGGGTCTCAGGGAGTGAGAAGATGGAAGGAGGGAGAGAGAAAGAGAGAAAAGAAAAACTTTTCGATAAAAGGTTCATTAATTATAGGAGCAGGTGTCCTGGAGGCAACATAGCAGAGTCCAGCAGACATAAAGTGGGAGCTTGGGAGAGTCAGGTTGAAATGAGATGGGAATAAGAAAGCAAACAACTGGGGGAAGAGGAAAGGATTTGTTCTTCAGAAGCCAGGACTTTATGATCACTGGGATAGCCAAGAGGAAATGGGGCTACAAGTACACTGAGCATTATGAACTGAGTCCACACAGAGTATCAGAGGATGGAAAGAATGGAATCCAGTGAGAGATGGAGATGATTCGACGGTTCGAGGCAGGCGGTACTGGATGGGTAATGTGTGAGGAGTCAGGAGGCACCAAATCGTCAGTCTAATGAGTCGCTATGTCCTGCTGAGTGTCTCACTAAAATCTCTCGTTCTTCTCCTCCTTTCCATTCACATCACAGCCAGTCAAGCGCAAGCCCGAATAACCTCTCACCTGGACTACCCCAACAGCCTCCTAATTAACCAGGCTGCCTTCAGGATCTCCCTTCTCCAATCCTTGCTTTACAAAACCCAGCTCATTTCCTATCTCCATGTCCTACCCCTACAATGTTCACATCTCCAATTCCCAAGTGGATGTGTAGATGTGGATATCCTGTAGATGCCTCAAAAATTCAACCTGTCTAAAACTGACCTCACTATCTTTCCACCCAAACCCTCTCTTCCCGAACTACTCCATTTCTGTCAAAGGTACAGCAACAACCTCTTAATCACACAGGCTCCCTCAAACTCATTCCTCACCCTTGATAATGTTACCAAGACCTGTCAACTGGACCTTCACAACACCTCAGTCCTCTGACACTGGTACTTTGATCCAGAGTTGGGGAGACTGACCCGAAGATAATTGTCATGGTTGTGGCCTCAACTCTCTCCCCACTACAACCCATCCTCTGCTCGGCTAGAAAACTGACTTTCCTTAAGTCCAGTTGTGGCTGTGGAAGCCACACCTAATCCAAAGGCTCCAGCGGCTGCCTATCAGCCCTTGGATCAAGCCTCCAATCATCTGTTGGATTTCTGAAGCCTTTCAGAGCTGGCACCCCCTGCCTTTGGAGTCTTTCCAATCCAATGACACTGGCCTCTTGGCTATTCCACACACAAAACACCCAATCTCCCAACTCCAGGCATTTGCCCAGGCTGTCCCCCATCCCTGGAACACTCTCCCTCACTTCGACCTCCTGGCTTTCCTGGCTCCCTTCAAGCCTCTGCTAAACCCTCACCTTCAAAGCCTCTTCCATTTGCTCTTAATCCTCATGCCCTCCCTCTCATCATTACCTCCAATTAACCCTGTAATATAGCTTGTTTCTATGTGGCCTCTTGCATGTCACCTCCCTAATCAGACTGTGAGCTCCTTGAAGGGAGAGACTATTCTGGCTTTGCTTGTAACGCCGGTGCACAGCACAGTGCCTGGCACATATTAGGCACTTAATAAATGCTTCCTGAATGATTGACTTCCTTCAGTGCTTACCTCAAGTACCTACTCCAACATGAGAGAGCCTCCTTTTCTGATCCTCCCTCTCCCTGCAAATCCCTGAAATTACTTGGTATTTCCTGTGGATTTATTTTTCGGTGATAATGTTGCTTCCCCCCAGGAGAAAATAAGTTCCATGATGGCCAGAAGTATTTTCATTGCCGTCTTTGTATATCAACACAATACCAGAAACCTCGCCGGCACTGAAGAAATGAATGCTGAATGAATAAATTCTATAGGAAGGCCCTATGGACCTTTCTCCTCCTTTTTCTCTGCAGTAAAATGTCAACCTAATAAAAAGAAAAACAAACAGCCTCCCCCCCCCCACAAAAAAATGTCCTCTGTGCCTCCTCAGTCTGACTAAACATGCATGTTCATACTGGAAACGGCTGGAAAAATCAGCCAGAGCTCAGTATGAGTTGGCTAAAACCAAATATTTGCCCTTTTAATACTCCTTCTCCTAACATGTGGAGGTTTTATACTCAGAGACTTTTGGAGCCTCCTGCTAGAAACGAAATGCCCAGGAAAGCCGTTCAAGGTCTAAGTGATAAAGCCAGTGGCCTTCCCTGGAGGAACAAGCCATTCCCAGAGAAGCATCACTGCTGACTTGGGCTCAGAGCAAAGACAAGGCCTGTAAACTATGCAGCACAGAGGAGAGTCAGTATCAGGGCCAGTCAGAAATAGGAGGGTCAAGGCCTTGCTTTGCCAAGTAAAGAGGGGATAGGGTTGCCTAACACAGACAGTTCTCCCTTTATATAAGTGGACATAATGCAAATATGTCCACGGATGGGGGTGGGATATGGGGATGGGAGGAAGGGGAAGGCCAACACATGAATGCAAAACATATTGGGGCTGGGGACAGAGAAATGAGAGCAAGAATAAGTACACAGAGGGGCTGGGACAAGCCATGTGGGAGCCTGGCCAGAACCAAGAGGAAGAACACACAGGGCCAGACACAGACAGGAGAGGAACACACGTGGGCCCAGGGGCAGACAAGCAGTACCTAGTGCTGACGGACAGAAGACAGACATGTAGGGGCAGACACGTGTGCGGGTGGGGGGAAAAGGGCAAAGGGCTCCTCTCCCAGCTCTGGAGGTTTCCGCAGCAGCAGTGGTGGTCTCTCCACACACTCTTCTGCTTTCACTTGGAGGGGTATTTTTTAGAGGTTTTTTCAATTGGCCACAGAGGGCTGAGGTGACGGAGAGGAACAGACAGCACGAGCACAGTACTGTACAGTAAAGTCCACATAGGTGTGCTGTTGGAATGTGGATTTCTTTTAGAATTCTTTACACAACATTGGATTTGTGTAATGTGAATTTATGTAAGGTGAGAATTGTCTCTATTCCTCCCTCTCCCATAAGATGCAGGCACACTATCTGTTGTTTTCGCTTAACTGTGTTTATTTTTTACAAGGAAGGATTCAATTCTTGCAGGAGGGGGAGTATAGCAAGAAATGACTGATACAAAAACAAAAATATTAAACATTTTATAAGAAGAAAAAAATCCCCAACACCACAAAACTCCTTGGCTTGACTGACCCTTCTCAGGCTCACCAGTCTGATCATATTTCCTTTCTCAATTTTCTTCCTCCACTCCCCAGCCCCCAAATGAGTCATCTTCTTACCACAACATAATCCAGACCTCACACATCTGGATCTCTCAGCTGAAATCAGAGTGTACTTTAGCCCCTCACCACAAATGCAGGTTATTTTATTTGGGCTCATTGTTTCGGTACAATTTCTTATTTCTCTGAGCAGCTGCCCAGCTCATATCAAAATGAAATTCTTACCTGAAAGCTGAGATGGTAAAGAAAATGGCACTGTCCTCCCAAGAGGCTGAAGACACACAAAGAGATGTCCCAACTCAATGGGTAGTAATGGGGGGGGGGGTGCCCTAAAATAGCGTAATCAAACCCTACTGTCAAATAGGCCCACCATCGAGTCCTTTAGCTGATTCCAGGACACCAGTCTAGCCTAATCCTGTTATCATTCGCAGTTAAAACAACCACAGTTATGAAGAAACAGCTCCCTGTAAAGAAGGTTGCCTTTAGCAGCAGCCTGATTCTGAATATGGTGGCATCAGGTAAATTGCTTCTCAAACATGAAGGAAGACAGTAGAAAATAAATTTCAAAGGTTTAAGAGGTTCTAAATCAGGGGTGGGGAACCTGCAGCCTCGAGGCCACATGTGGCCCTCTAGGTCCTTGGGTGCAGGTTTTGACTAACTCCAAGTTCTACAGAACGAATTCTTTTATTAAGGAAAATTATCCATTACTCTGTTCCTTTCTTTCTTCCTCAGTTTTGAACAACAGCCTTTCCTTATTTAGAGAAACAAGGCCCAAACTCACCAGAGAATTGGGGAATTGGCTGGGATATTACACAGTATGATCACCTGTCTGTGATATGGTAGAGGGAATGAATCTTCACATACAGATTGGGCAAGACGGCCTCTGAGGTCCCCAATAGCTCACAACTGAGTCTTAAGCCTGAATATAAGACAGAGCTAAAGAGCAAAGAGTTACCCATTTTCCTGATCCTTAAGAGACACTTCCTTCCCCCAACCCCCACACACATGCCCAATGCCCTCTCAAGGACTGCACTGTCAGTTTGGTGGACCAAGTCAACAAAGCCTGGGTCTGTGAGCCATCCGAGCAGTCCAGGCCATGTCGATGATAATGTCAGCAACCCAGTTCTGTTATGGTTGCAAATATCTATCTCCATAAAGACAGCCTGGATTTTGACTGCCAAAGAACAGATCCTCTATTTAGAATGTTGTTGCTATGAAAATAGCTGCCCCAACATGATGTTTTACCTAAAGTCTTGTTTTCACAGAAGTAAAGAATGATATTAGGTCAGGGGTAGGTCTGTCCAATTTAGTTGGAAGAGTCAAAATGCCTACCTTTGCCCTTATCGGGTTTGTAGCCATCCTCTAAAATATCTTCTAGATCCTTATCTGTGAGTCCTGGGAAAGACAAAAAGAACAGAGCAATTACTGAGAGCCAGATTTTCCTTGTACTGCTGATAGTTAACGTCAAATCGCCGCAACCACCCAATAAAAATAAGGGATAGTGGGGGGAACAGTTTTAAAAGGTTCTCTTTCCATCTCTTCAGGGACAGATGTAAATAATTTTTTTAAAGGCACACAATGTTTTAAACCACATGACTGGGCTTCTAGACAGCAATTTGTCTGGAAAATGATCTGAAGGCTTTAGGGGACTGCACTTGATACAGCAGGCAAAAAGCAATTGGAATCTTAGGCATTAAGAGAGGCACAGGGTCTAGAACTACCAGGTAGGTAACAGCCCTGCTGAACAACATACGTCCTGGAGTTAGAATACAACTGGAATGTTCTATCTAGATCTGGGTACCACAGTTCAAAAAGATTACTGATGAGCTGGAGATCATCTCAAAGAAGGGCAAACAGGAGGATGGTAAAGGCTTCAAGATCCTGCTGACTGAAGACTGAATGAAGGAAACAGGTGTGTTTAGCCTGGAGAAAAGGAGGATGAAGGTGAGGGAGCACAATCTTCTTTAAGTACTGGAAAAAAGGAGAAGGAAGTTGTTCTGTTTGGGCCCAGAGACAGAACCAGAAGGACTGGGTACAACTTATAAAAAGGCAGTTTGAGGCTTGATGTCAAGAAAGACTTCCTGCCAATTTGAGCTGTCCAAAAGGAGAATGGGCGGCCTTGAAAGATGAAGTGTTCCATTCAACTGGGTATGGAAATCTGTCTTACCCTACAGGAAAATAGGAGGAGAAGGGGACAAGAGAGCAGGGGGGTGATAGAGAGGAGGGTAGACTGGGAAAGAGAGTAATCAGAAGCAAATACTTCTGAGGAGGGACAGGGTCAAAAGAAAGAATAGAATAAATGGGAGGGCAGGATAGGATTAAGGGAAATAGAGTTAGTTTTTCACAACATGTCTACTAAGGAAGTGTTCTGCATAACTGCACACGTACAACCTATATTGAGTTGCTTGCCTTTTCAATGAGGGTGGGTGGGGAGGGAGGAAGGGAGAAAATTTGGAACTCAAAGTTTTAAAAACACATATTTTAAAAAAAATGTTTTCACATGCAACTGGGAAATAAGAAATACAGGAAATGGGGTACCAGAAGTCTATCCTGCTCTACAGGAAAATAGAAGGGGAAGGGGATAAGAGAAGGGAGGGGGGAGAGATAGAAGAGAAGGCAGACCAGGGGAAGGGGTATTCAGAATGCATACCATCTTGGGGTGGGGGGAGGGGTGAGAAATTTGGAACTCAAAAACTTGTAGAAGTGAATATTGAAAACTAAAAATAAATAAATTTATATAAAAAAATAAAAAGAAAAAAATTGAAAAAAATTGAAAAAAAGAAAAAAAAAGAAAGATGAAGTGTTCCCCTCTTAGTGGAAGTCTTCAAATGGCAGCTGGATAACCATTTGTTATCCCTTTCAAATATGCATTAGCCGAGAGGGTCACTGAGGTACCTTGCAACAATGAAATTTAGTGATTTTGAATATTCATAGAACGCAAAATCACTTTTTTTCTTAACAGTATTTTATTTTTTCCCCAATTACATGTAAAGATAGTTTGCAACATTCACTTTTATAAGACTCTGAGTTCCAAATATTTCCCCCTCCCCAAGACAGCAAGTAATCTGAAACACAGACTATATGTGTACAATCCTGTTAAACATATTTCCACATCAGTCATGTAGTGAAAGAAGAATCAGAACAAAAGGTAAAAACCATTTAAAAGAAAAAAAGAGAAAACAGTATGTTTCAATTCTCCATTCAGACTCCACAGTTCTTTCTCTGGATGGGGATAGCATATTCCACTTTGAGTCTTTTGGAATTGTCTTAGATCCTTGTATTGCTGAGGTGCACTAAATCTATCATAGCTGATCATTACACAGTGTGGCTGTTACTGTGTGCAACGTTCTCCTGGTTCTGCTCACTTCACTCAGCATCAGTTCATATAAGTCTTTCCAGGTTTTTCTAAAATCTGCCTGCTTATCATTTCTCATAGAAAAATGTCACTCCATTACATTCACATACCACAACTTGTTCAGCCACTCCCCAACTGATGGGCATCCCCTCAATTTTCAATTCTTTGCCACCACAAAGAGCTGCTAGAATATTTTTGTACATGTGGGTCCTTTACCCTTTCTTTTGCTTTCTTTGGAATACAGCCCTAGAAGTGGTATTGCTGGATGAAAGTGTATGCACAGTTTTATAGCCCTTTGGGTACAGTTCCAAATTGCTTTCTAGAATGGTTGGATAAATTTATAACTCCACCAACAATTCATTAGCGTTCCAATTTTCCCACATCATCTCCGACATTTATCACTTTCTTTTTTTGTCATATTAGCCAATCTGACAGGTGTGGGGTGGTACCTCAGAGTTGTTTTGATTTGCATGTCTCTAATCAATAGTGATTTAGAGCAATTTTTTCATATGACTACAGATAGCTTTAATTTCTTCATCTGCAAACTGTGTCTTCATATTCTTTGACCATTTATCAATTAGGCAATGACTTATATTCTTATAAATGACTCAGTTCTCTGTATGTTTTAGAAATGAGGCCTTTATCAGAGAGACTGGCTGTGAAAATTGTTTCCCCGCTTTCTGCTTCCCTTCTAATCTTGCTTGTACTGGCTTTGTGCAAAAACTTTTAAATTTAACATAAACAAAATTATCCATGTTACATTGCATAATGTTCTCTATCTTCTATTGGGATAAATTCCTCCCTTCTCCATAGATCTGACAGGTAAACTATTCCTTGCTTTCCTAATTTGCTTATGGTATCACCCTTTCTGCCTAAATCACGTACGCATTTTGACCTTATCTTGGCAGATGGTGTAAGATTCTGATCTATGCCCAGTTTCTGCCTTACTCTTTTCCCGTTTTCCCAGCAGTTTTTGTCAACTGGTGAGTTCTTATCCCAGAAGCTGGGGTCTTTGGGTTTACCAAACAGAAGATTACTATAGTCATTGACTACTGTGTCTAGCATACTTAACCTATTCCACTGATCCACCACTCTATTACTTAGCCAGTACCAAGTAGTTTTGATGATTGCCGCTTTATAGTTTTAGATCTGGTATGGCTACGCCACCTTCCCTTGTGTTTCTTTTCATTAATTCCTTTGATATTCTTGACCTCTTGTTCTTTTTTTTCTACTCTATCAAATAATTTTTTATATATTTTTTTCTACTCTATCAAATAATTTTTGGTAGTTTGATTGGTATGGCACTGAATAAATAAATTTAGGTAGAATTTTCATTTTTATTATAGTAGCGTGGCCTATCCATGAGCAACTGATATTTTTCCAAGTATTTAGATCTGCTTTATTTGTGTGAAAAACGTTTCATAATTGTGTTCATATAGTTCCTGGGTTTGTCTTGGCAGGCAGACTCCCAAATATTTTATATTGTCTACCATTACTTTACATGGAATTTCTCTATCTTTTGCTGCTGGGCTTTGTTAGTAATATACAGAAATGCTGATGATTTATGTGGGTTTATTTTATATCCTGCAACTTTGCTAGAGTTGTTAATTATTTCAAGTAGTTTTTCAGTTGACTCTAGAATTCTCTAAGTGTATCATCATATCATCTGCAAAGAGTGAGTTTTCTTTCCTCATAGCCTATTCTAATTCCTTCAATTTCTTTTTCTTTCTCTTATTGCTAAAGCTAACATTTCTAGTACAATATTGACTAACAGTGGTGATAATGGACATCCTTGTTTCACCCCTGATATTATGGGGAAAGCTTCTAGCTTATCCCCCTGTAATACCACTTAATAACAACCTTCAATGGGAAACCCCCCCCCCCCCCAGAACCTGGCGAAAACCAAACCTTCGGTGAAAAATATTCCAACATCTGTTACAATCTCTAACATTTGGCATAAATTGAGGGTGTTAACAGAACACGAAGATCAGTGGGAACAGGGCAACAGAACTGTCAAAGTGACTGCAGATGGAGGTAGAGCCCAGGGAAACAAATGAAACTGAAGGGACCGGTTTTGATGAAAACCATGAGAGAAGGCCAATGAAAGGACCTGGGTGGCCTTCCCCACTTCGGTCCTCTACCCCAATCACAGTCTCACAAACTGAAATAAGAAACATTATGACTCCTACAGAAAATTTTTTTCAGGCTTCTAGACTGAACATCCACCACCACCTAGCACTGTGCCTTTTGTACATCAAGCACTTGGGAACTGGTTAAACTGAACTCTAGTCAAATTTCAATTCAGAACTCAAGATGATTTAAAACTGTCTAGAAAACAGTCTTTTAATCTTCTCAAAGGTTGTTAATGACAGAATTTAGAAGGTTTCCATTTGGAGTCCTCTTTTGAGACCTGCTAGCAGTGGTGATATTCAGCCATTTCCCACAGACTTCATAGCGTGATTTCGTATTTATTTCTACTCATAGAAGTTTATTTTCTCATTAAACTGGTAATTATAAAAATATGATGATTCTTCCCCCCCCAACCAGAAGATTCTGAGTACCTAAAGAGGGCGCCAGTATCTTTTCCACTCAATGCCACTACTCTGCCTTTAGAGGACATCGTATTTGCCCTTTCCCTTCCACTAGATGGCACCCAAGTGTAGAAGCATACAGACCCTTCATCTACAGCATGTTTATGTCTACCCTGGAGATCCCAGAACTACTTGGCTTCACTCATTGTGAAGAGCAGTTCACGCCAACTTCAAAAGAGGCTATTCTGTGTGAAAACGGGGCCCTAAAACCTACTCAGAGATTTGCTAGAGATTAAAAACATAAAATAGCAAATTACTTTGACAACTCTGGGGGGCCTTCTATTAAGGGAAAATCTTGACTTCAGAAGATGAATTAAAAACCTTCCTGAGTGAGCTAATCCATCCAACACATCACACAAGGGAACATATAATTTCATTCATGAATTGTTTTCTACCAGAGGTGTTGTTGAAGAATTTTCTATAAACTGTATTTAAGAGAACAGAATCCAAGAATTCTCCAGATTTCTTCTTATAATTTGACAGTTACTCGTCGACAGCACTCCTGATGCTATAAAATACACTCCCGATGAAAATCTGCTCATCCCTAATTTATCAGTTCACAACAATGACTCTTTTACAAAAGTCTTGCTGTTTCTACTTTCTAAGACCGCTCACATCAGACGTCTTTTTACAGAGCAATCACCACAGCACAGGCACTCATCACCCCCTACCTACAGTACTGCTACAGGACCCCAAATAGGCTCCTTTCCTCAAGTCTCTCCTGACTCTAGTCCTTCCTATATATTACTGGGAAAAGTAATTCACTTAGGTACAGATGATTTCCTTTCAGTGAAGTTTCGACCACATGACTACCCTGACTTAACCAACTCCAGTAGCTTTCATTAAGCTCCAGGAAACAATATAAACTCCAAAATATCAATGTGAAGAAGCAAAGTGTTTCTTTTTCAGTACAGCTGAATATGACAAGCTAGCCATACAGGATGGCATTCAGACAATTATATAGAGCTTGCAATAAAGGACTTCATTTATCAAGACATCTCCTAGAGCTCTCTTCCTGTCAAAGCAGAAGGGCTTAATAATTATGATAATTTAGTCGTTTAAAAGGGAGATAAACGAACAAGAGCAGGTTCATTATAGGCCTGATTCTCACCAAGAGGAAAGGAACTGATTGCTGTGGGAAAAATAACATGAGGCTTGGACCAAAGTGACCTTTCAGAGTTTGTCACAGAAAAGAGAAAAGTCAAACATAAAACAATATATACAACACATTGAGGAAGAGTAGATTTCAATGGGATCAGAGGAGGGATGATGATAACTGAGAAAAAGAATCAGAAATATGCCTTTCTCATTCTGCCTTGTTCTTTTCTGGAAGGAGAAATGACCTTGGAACTGGAAAAGGTCAAAGAGAATAAATACATACCCAGGGTAAGTGAGGAGAACGGAAGAGAGCATGCAACTGACCTTATCTGTTCAAGTCACCCAGCCTAAATGAACTACATCTATGGCTACTGAAAGAACTTATGGATGTGACTGTTAAGCTATGGGCAAATATATCTAAAATACTGAGAACAGCACAGGTACCCCAGTGCTGGAAAAGAAGGAATGTCCTAAGGGTTTTTTTTGGGTTTGTTTGTTTTTAAGGACAAAGAAGGGAATGTGTAAACAATGAGCATTACTTTGACACCTGGCAAAATTCTAGAACCAATTGCCAACAAGATGGTCAAGGAACACCTAGAAAAGGAAACAAAGATCAAAAAGAATAGCATGGCTTCCTCCAGAAGGAATGCCAGGCTCCGCTTTATTCTCTTATTTGACGGTCATGCAATTTTGGGATTAGGAGCTCTCTAGATAAAGAGCATGCCTATTTCACTGCGATGCTTGGGCTTCTTAAACAACACATCTGCTTTTACTTTCTTCGATGTTGTTGTTCTGTCCTTTGTTGCCAAAGAAGTCCGTGACATCAGGAAGATGATGCCATGACCTGCAAGTGAACTGGACTGAAGGGAGGCAAGGATCTATGCAAAGTCTCCAGCCTCATTTTCTCCTCCAGAGCCACCCAGGTCCAGTGACAAGAAAGTGATCAGGACAACTGCAGATGGCCCCATTCTTAGATGTGGCTTACAAAGTCCCAGATAAAGTCTCTCAGAACATACTTATGGAAAAGGTGAATACAGAACTAGCTGAATGGACACATGGAAAGAGTATTTCTTAATGGTTCAATACTGATTGGAAGAGGTCTCTGATGGAGTGGAACAGAGATTTGTGCTTGGCCCGGTGTCATTTAACATTATTATCAACGCTAAAGAGAGGCAAAGGCAGTTGGATATCAGGAAAAATTTCCTGACAATCACAGCTATACAAAACTGGAACATGCTGCTGCATCTTCATCTGTCTTTGATGGCTCTTGATTAAAGGCTGGATCATTGGCAGGCAGATCTGTTGAAGAAGGTATGGAGGTATGGGTTGGACTAGATGGCTGCTGAGGTCAGATTTCCAGATGGTGTTCTGGCATGGATTCTGGAGTCTTTAGGTCTTGACCTCTGTTCCTCTTTCTTTTTCACAACTACAAGGCAAGCAATTGCCTGGTACTGCTGGCCCTTACCTTTTGCTTTTATTCCAGTGCTGAGAATAGCGGCAGATGCCCGCTGGCCATTGGGCCTCCTTTCCCCTCATTTCCTGGGTCTGTACCCGAAGGAGCACAGGGTTGGCTGTGCAGTCTTTTTCTCACCTTTCCTTCACTACTAGGATTAGAAGTTCGTGCACTCTTACATGCAGGAAGACTCCACTGAGTTGAGGAGGGCTAACAATGGTAATCTTGCAGCGAGGTGGTACAGAGAGTAGATATTTGAACTTGGGAGTCAGAAAAACTTGAGCAGAAACACAGTCTGAAATCCTTCCTAGCTGTGTGACTCTGCCACTTACCCTCTCTTGTGCCTTCTGCCTCCTCATGTATAAAATGACAAGAGTAATAGCACTTTTCTCCCAGGGTTGTTGAATGCCTCAAACGAGAACATATTTGTAAAGTGCTATACAAACCTTAAAGAACTATTAATACTGTTAGGTATCTTATGATATGATCCACTACTACTTTAAAAAATAAAAAAAAAATACACACACACACACACACACACACACACATATATTTGATTTTTTAAGCATATCTTAAAAGATTCTATGTTTAGTAAATTATTCATTTATGGAAGATTAGTATGTTTGTCATGGAGATAAGAATACCTCAAATTGTATCTGTTTCTGTATGTGTGTGTTTAACCTGTGTATATATTTATATATGTGTACATGTATACATCTATGAATATGAATGTGTCTGTGTCTGTATACAGTTTCACAAAAATCTTAGATTTGGCTTTGAAAAACATAACCCAAGAGTATGCATGTATGCATGCATGCCTGTATGTATGTGTGCATGCATGCATGTGTGTGATTCTGACCTTATCATTCCACAGAAACTGCTCTCTCCAAAGTTATCAATGATCATCTAACTGGCAAATCCAATGGCCTTTTCTCAATCATCATTCTCCTTGGTTTCTCTGTACTTTTCACACTATTGATTACCCTCCTATCCTTGAAACACTTTTCTCTGTAGGCTTTTGGAATACCAGTCTCTCCTGGTTTTCCTCCTACCAGTCTCATTCTTACTACCACCACGTGACCTCCCCTACTCAGTAAATTCCAATGGCTCCCTATCACCTCCGGTATTTCAAATACAAAGTCCTGTTAGGCATTCAAAGCCCTTCATGACCTAGTCACCTCTTCACCACCACCCCTCCACACACAGGTCCAGTCTTCCTACACTTTACACCTCTGCACATATAGTCTTCAGTTCAGTGACATCAACATCCTTGGTATTCACTGCACAAATAAGAAAGGCCATTTCCCATTTCAGGCATTTTCTCTAGCTGTCCAATAGGACTGGAATGCTCTCCCTGCTCATCTCTGCCTCTTGGCTATGCTGGCTTCCTTCAAGGCCCAACTAACATACCATTTTTTCCAAGAAGCCTTTCCTAATCCCTCTTAATTCTGGTGTCTTCCCCTCTGATAATCACTTCCTAATTATCTTGTATATAGCTCGTTTTTATATATATATCTGTTTGCCTGTTGCCTCACCCAGTAGCCTGTCAGCTACTCAAGGCCAGGGACCAGTTCACTTCTCTGTGTATTCCCAGTGCATCCCGATTAAGCACAAATGCTTAATGACAACTTGACAAAGTGACTATTTGTGAGGGTACTTAGCAGCCCTTTAATTAAATGGCACAATTATGCTATCTTTACATCTTTACTCCTCCATGCCTACTCAATATGTGAATATGAAATGTTTCCTACATATTATATTAGACTTGTTTTTAAAAACACATTCAAATACATAAGAATACGGGTAACAAAAAGATTTTAAAAGTCTCTCAACCTTGCAGATAATGATACAGCATATTTTCAAGGAAAGAAAAGTTTGAAGCACGCTCATTCTTCATCATCCATGTAAAAGCATTGAAGATCCCACTCATCTTTCACTGCCAAGGTACCCCACTTGCCCTTGGCCATATCAGATTTATCATTAGGTTTATCAAAATAGAAGTAAATTTGGATGTTGCTGGGTTAACCAGTGGTTTCAAACAGAGATAAACCTATAAAGATCCAGTGAACCCACTTACCTTCACCAGGTTTTAGATTGGGCCTGCCTCCACCACCATTGAATCCATCATTTTTTTCATCTAAGGCATCGCTCAAGTGAAAACCAAGATCTTCAAAATCTCCAAGGAAAAGAAAGGAAAAGACAAACTGATTAACAGGGTCAAATAAGAGTCTTAAAATACAATGCAGTCCCCTCTTCTCCTATCAAATACGAGTATACTAAAGCTAGTGGAGTGCATCTGGTGTTTGGAGAGGACTAGCACACACCTCTGCTGTGAGGCCTTGCTGAGCCCTTTTCACAGCTGCTCATCCACCTTTGGTGTCCACCTTCACTCAACTCTCCCCTGTGGCTCCAAGAAGCTGGAGCAGATGCAGAGGCCAAACCTGGTAAACCATCCCAGCAGATGGGTTAAACCAGGTTGAAGATAACCAACAGGCCTCAAACCTATAAGGTTAGTTAAAGGGATAGCAACCCCAAGCGTGGAAGACTTCCCCCGGCAGAATAAGCGAATGAGAACAATTTGTTCCAGGGGTCAGAAAGGAGGCTGAAGCAGGCCCTGTGGAGGACTTAGAGCTTGGTCAGACATCAAAGATGCCAAGGTCATCCACGGCATCCTGGGCCATCAACAGTCCTCTTGACTTCTGCCCTGACACTGGACTTTGATGAGTTTTCAAAATAGCAGGAGATGATTTTTACATGAATGGCTGATGGCAGACTGCATCTCAAGTCAACTTCTGCCTAGCTATTCCTTTGAGAGTCACACTTTCCCAAGTTATTCCTTTGTTGCAAACAGGCTCATCTGCTCAGCCTAGTTCATCTGTGCCATCCATGGAGAAGAACTGTTCCCACACACTTCTGAAACACCCAGGAATTACCTGAACTCTTGGGTGGTGCCTTCATGGCCTGGCACCATTAGCACTGCTTCTGTGAAAACTAGGCCACAGGGCGTTTGAAAACACAAAACCAGCTACCTGAATGGACAACTTAAACAGCAAATCTTGGTGGCTTCAATTCAACATTTGTGAAGCACCTGATAGAAGCACCATCCTGTGTGTAGGTGCTACTGCTGGGTTATTTCCTAAAACTGCAGAACAAGGCCCTGAGTCTCAGAATGATCCTTCCATCCATTTGACTCCTAATCATCTGCCTCCTCCTAGAGCAGAAAACAATCCAGTTAACTACGAGTTCTGGTTCATCAGGTCATAAGGAGTGGTGTTTTACCAGATCCAGAAAGCACCTTGTGAACTGTCAATGCAGACAGAGGTTCTGATGCGAAAGGAGGCAGGAAAACAGTGTAATGAAAAGAAGGTCAACAGACAGTGACTGCCTCTCTCCAATGGAGGAGAGAATGTGGGAAAGATAAGGAAGTAAGGAGTCAGAGACATGGGTGAGAGAATGTGCACAACACACATACAAGAAGTACTGGCTGTCTGCTCATTAATTAAACAGGAACACTGGATGAATTCTGAGTCTTACTAAGGCACCAACAGGAACAGGATCAGAAACGCTCATGGAGATGGTGAATTACCTGTTTTCTTTAGAGGGGGGTTAGTGGTTGTGGGAAGAGCATCACTCAACTCAAAACCTACAAAATAAGACAAGAGATCTAGTCACAAGTCATGGCACCCAAATCAATGCAAGGGAAAGCTTGCTTCAATTCTCTGAGCAAGAGAGCCTCTATCCCAAACCAAAAGTCAGACTGAAAACAGCCCAGGCAGTGAGCTACCACCTAAGTCTTCCTACCACCCCCACGTATGCCACTTCTCCCCTACTCCAGCTCACATCCATCCAGCTACCTGAACGGAACACATTTCAAGGAGAGCCTCTGCTCCTAAGCCTCCTGCATCAGCTTCCTACTGAACACAAGGAGGCAAACATTCAATTAAATTCCATTATTTATTTGTTAGGTAGCCACTACTACCAGGCACTCTACCAAGCACCAGGATATAAAGACAAAACTGAAATAGTTGCTGCCCTCAAGAAGCTTACATTCTACTGGAAGAAACAATTTATCCACAATTAAAAATACAATATATAGAAAATAAATGCAATTAGGGCCCAACTGGTGGGAATAATGAATCCCATTAAGGGGGCATACAACTCAATTCATAATATTTGAAATAACAATCTTATGTAAAATATGACAATTGGCTCCAGACTAAAGGAAAGAAACAACGAAAAAAAATTTTTACTGGAAAAGTGTGTTTCTGATTCAAGTATATTACAAATAGAGCAGAAAGCAAAATTTAATTTTTTTTAAATCTTAAATTACTAAATATTTTAAAGATAAGCCTAGATCAATGATATGACAAAAACATAATAATTAAAATTTAAAATATTTAAGAAGCATAGACTGAACTACCTTCACTTTCTCTACATCTTCAGAAATACATTAGTAGGTTCAAAGCTTTAGCCTCATCTCAGCAAATGTTTGCAATCATAGTCTCACAAAATGAACCAATTGTAGCTGAATGACCTGAGACATTACCTACAATCACTAATGCTTTAAATGTGATATTGTCTTGCAATTTTTTTCAACAGATGGGCTAAAATAATTCTAAAACCAGTATTCAAAACCAGCTTTAATCTTTCATTTCGTTCTTATTTGACTGCCAAAGAACTGGAAGTGATCAATGGCTGTAGCCTCCAAGAACATGAGGATTCCGAGACAGACAAACAAGCACTGGTTTTATTTTTAAATTATCTTCTGCCTTATATTCCAATAAAAATGTTAGGTAAACCTAAGACACCTTAAATCCAGATTTAATTTTTTCCTTTGTAGAAATGTATTTTATGGGAGACATCCTTTATTCAAAATAATCTTTTATGTACAATAAAAATATATTGATGGGTATATGCATTCACTTTCAACAATTTTCTTCAAAATATCAGGATATTTAGCTGTCTCACCCTCTTCTCCACTGGCCACTTCTCTGGGAGCTTTGATACCATGCAAATGAACTTGATTTTTAAAGTGATCAAACCAACACTTTCAGTAGCAGCTTCTTCATTATCTACTTCATTGCCATCTTCAATCATTTTCTTAAATATACCTGAAAGCTTTCGGCTGAGTCTGTTCCACTAAGAAGAGTGTGTTTCTTATTACAATCTTTAGTCCACCAAGCTTCATTTGGATCATTCTAAGACTTGTATTTAATTTCTTGATTGGAAAACACAAGAAGGTGGTGCAGTTCTGCCTTTTTCTTCTGCTTCACCAGTGTGTTCTACATTATTCTGCACCATAGAATTAGACACTCGGACATCTCATCCTATTTTAAAGTTACTCCATGTACGGCCATTCAAATTTTTATTCTAATATAATAACAAGCTTCTTCTTTTTCACCCTGGCATTGTTTCCACTCGAGGTAGTCTTTCTTTTGTCCATTTTCTTAAGGGATCTATTTGGTTTTTAAATTGAAAACTTAGCATAATTGTTGGAAATATGGTAGGCTGCAGCACAGCACATCCATATAAGAGACAAGCACAGAATGACAACACAGAGGTCCGTTAAAGCCTTCATCTAGATCACCTATCAATGAGATATTTCACATTTTCTTCTACTTTTTCATTATCTTGACATCCCATAAAGTCAGTAGTGGAGAATTTTTTTTAATTTTTAAAGAATTGTTTTCTTCAGTGAACAGCTGTATCTCTTTTGCCATTGTCTAAGGCTGCTTTTTTTTGGGTTGGTTTTTTTTTTTAAGGCGATTGGGGTTAAGTGACTTGCCCAGGGTCACACAGCTGGTAAAGGTCAAGTGTTTGTTCTGAGGCTGGATTTGAACTCAGGTCCTCCTGACTTCAGGGCCAGTGCTCTATCCACTGTGCCACCTCGCTGCCCCTAAGATTGCTTTTTAATCTGTGAAGTTGTGCAAGTCTTTTACCATTTGGTCAATTCTGCTTTTTAAAAAGCTCTTTTCTATACTGAGATTTTGTACCCTTCTTACCATTTGACAAATTCTGGTTTTTTTAAGGTGTTATTTTCTACAGCATTTTTTTTCCTCTTTTACCAAGCTATTCTTTTTTTCATAATTTTCTTACATCCCTCTCTTTTCCCAATTTTTCCTCCATCGCTCTTTTTAGTTTTTAAATTTTTTTTTCTTTTTTACTCTTTCTTAAGGTTTTTCTAGGAATGCTTGTTGGGCTTGTGTACAATCTGCATTTTTCTTTCATACACTGCTTGTAGCTATTTTCACATCCTTTTCTTCTGAGTTTGTGTCTTGATTTTCCAGGTCATCATAGTAGGTCAGGTTCTTTGTTGTTGTCTGCTCATTTTTCAAGCCTATTCTTGACTTTGAACTTTCTGGTAAAGTTAGGCTCTCCTCACCTGAAGGGGGGAATGGGGAGGGTGTATACTATTCCAAGCTACAGGCTTTTTTACACTGCTGTTTTCACGGTTAGATCTGGGGGACTGTAAGGATTCAGTACTTCCCAGGAGAAGTGTAGTCACTGCTCTCCTGATCTGGTCCTTCCCAGGAAGAGGCCACACTCCCCTGCAGCCAAAAGTGCTAGTGCTCCTCTCTGCCCTGGAACTGCCACCAGGGCACCTGATCTCTTGGGACCCTAAGCCCTCCTCTCTGTACTAGAACTGCAACTGGGAACTGGGCATGAGCAATGGAGTTCCCAAATAGCACTGAGTCTCACATCCAGTGCTAGTAAAAGGGTCCCCTGTAATCCCTTTCGAACAAGTTATCCAATCTACTTATCCAATGCAATACAATCTCTGGGCTGAGAGCTCCTGAAGCTGCTGCCTCTGTCACAGCCACCTTCAAGGACCAAAGCTAATGTTTCTGCTGCATTCACTCTTAGCCAACCCCCGTCCCAGTGTCACAGACCTCTCCAGTTACTCTGGGCTGGAAAATGGCTCACCCCAACATTTCTTGCCTTTGAGTCACTGTACTCTGTCCTTCTTTTGGTAGGATTTCAAGATTTGCAATAATTTTTGATACTGGTTGGTGTTTTCTTTGATTTGTTCATAGCTCCAGCTTTAATTTGTCACCATAAAAAATCTGTAATAAAGAGAAACTGAGGCACAAAATTCTGGGCACAGTAAATTTTATTAGCAAGGCTAGCAGCTGCCAATAAAAAAGTGAACCAAGACTCCTTGGAAAGTCTAGGATGCTTCTTGCAGCCATAGCAGCCCTTTTTATAGTAAAAATATAATAGTTTATATGAAGTGCTAAAAATAATTTTGTGATGAAAACTAAACTAAGATTATAACTGGTCTATGACAAAAGTAAGGGTGGGCTTACATGCAGCCTGATTTACATGAGAAGATTTCCAGGACTCATGACAATGGGGAAAACACTGAGTTAATCAACATTATAGGGAAAATTCTACTTTAGGCGACCCCCTACCTACACTAGAGGGGTCTGGTGTTAGGCTTATGACCAGGCAGAACATCTTATGACCACATCAACTCATCCTCCTTTTTCCCCCTTCACCTTTCCAGGGTAAGACAGCTTGAGTCCTGTTTATAGCCCAGAGATATAGGAAAGTTAAACTCTTATAAAGAAGTCAAACTATCTTACAGATTTGTCTTTTAAAATCAAACTAATTCCTAAGCACTGATTCCAGTGAAAGCCCATAAGATATCATTGTGTCCAACTGTTTCATAACCAACAAATAGTAAGCACAACTAAATCTTTCAGTAAATCAATAGATGATAAAGATATGGTGGCTTTACTTATACCAGGTACGTTCAGTCGTTTTCAGTCCCATATGACTCTCTGTGATACCATTTGGGTTTTCTTGACAAAGACACTGGAGTGGACTGCCACTTCCTTCTGCAGTTCATTTTACAGATAAGGAAAATGGTTAAATGACTTGTCTAGGGTTACACAGCTAGTGAGTGTCTGAGGCCAGATTTGAACTTCTGAAGACGAGTCTCACTGATTCCAAGCCCAGCACTCTATCTACTGTGCCACCCTACTGCTCTATGCCAGATAAATGCTATTGTTATTATCCCTATTCTGCAAATGATGAAACTAAGGCACTAAGAAGTACAAAAATTAACCTAAGGTCACAAAGAGATACTTGGAGTCTTCTCAGGGCAACAAGTAAGTGTAAATGGTACTTGAAAAAACAAGACTCCAAACTAGAGAGAAAGCAAATCCACTTACCTGCCTTAGACTTCTGATTGGGCTTGCCACTTCCTCGTTTAAGTCGTTCAATTCGCTCATATAAGGAGTCAGTCAGGTCGAATCTTAAACCTTTGGCAATCCCTAAAGACAAGACAGGGGTCAATGAAATGCAGTAACAGTACTTTATACAATGAGAGATATCTCTGTTTCTCTGAAGGCATTAATGCAGGGATACTTCAATGGGACACAGTGTATACTCTGCAGGGTTGAAGCTAAGATGACAGCTGTGAGAAACAGAGGTCTCCTTCCTCCTGACCTGTTACTCGTGTTCTCTGTGCCCCAAGTGCCTCCGGAATTCAGTGTTCACCAAGGATCTTGACATCACTTGCTCTACTCGTACTTTCCTGCTTCCAAGTCCTGACCCTATAACACACTTGTTTAACTGTGCATTATCCTCCACTTTTCAATCAATGGGACAAGCTACTTTCACATCCTTTCCTTCTGAGTTTGTGTCTTGATTTTCCAGGTCATCATAGTAGGTCAGGTTCTTTGTTGTTGCTCATTTTTCCTGCCTCTTGTCCCATAGCCTCTAATGCTTGGCCAAACCCAACAATGGATACTCCCATCTGCCTTCTCTGCTCTTCACTGGCTATACCCCACTCCTAGAATGCTCTCCCTCCTCACATATATTTTCAGGTGTCCCCATGGGCCCTTCATTACTCAGCATAAATCCCACCTTCTTCAAAAGGACTTTCCTGGTTTTTCCCACTCCCCAACTATTAGTGTCTTCCATCTGAGATTACCTTCCAATTACACTGTATACCTCTTGCACGTCTACTCTTATTTGCACAGTCCCCCATTAGAACATGAACTCTTTGAGGGCATTTATGCCTTTCTTTGTCCCCCAAGCTTTTAATAGAATGCCTAAAATGTTGTTGTTCACTCTTCTTGACCCCTTTTGGGGTTTTCTTGGCAAAGACGCTGGAGTGCTTTGCCATTTCCTTCTCCAGCTCATTTTACAGATGAGGAAACTGAGGCCAACAGGGTGAAGTGACTTGCCAAGGGTCACACAACTAGTAAGTGTCTGAGGCCAGATTTGAACTCAATCTTGAGTCTTCCAGACTCAAGGCCTGGCATTCTATCTACTGCTCCACCTAGTTGCCACCTGGTACATAGTATATACCCTTAATAAATGCTTGGTGACTGACTGGGTCCACCACAAATCTGTGTTATAAAGGTAATCTTAATATTCCTCCCTAACTTCTTCTCTTCCCCATTCCTCAGAGAAGCTATTCCAAACCTATTCTCTTCCCAACAAAATGATACCACCACATCCACGGCTCCCTCTGAGCAGAGCATCTTGCCTGATCCTTCACTGAGAAAATAAGTCATTTGCTAAGAACTCTACATTTCAAAACCCCTTGGTATTATCACTTATCTTCTCCTTTGCTCCAGCCCATAGTGATTAAGTGGCTTTTCTTCTTGCCAAGAACAACCCTTCTTGTGGTACACTTAATCCCATTCCCTCCTTTCTCCAAAAACCGTTATCACCCACAATCCTTACACCTCTCTCCCAATCTTCAATCTCTCCATTATCTACTGGTTCCCTTCTTACTGCCTCAGCCTTTAAAAACAATAATCACTTGACCTCTCAAGCTACAGTCCTGTATCTCTCCTTCCCCACTTAGCCAAACTTCTAGAAGAAGCTGCCTATATTCACTGCCTCCAATACTTCTCCACCTACTCACTTCTCAATCCCTTTCCATCTCATTCCCAAGTCTATCACTCTAGAGAAACTGCTTTCTTCACAGTTACCAACAACTGGGATTACCAAACACAAAGGCCTTTTCTCATCCTTGTCCTTCTTGACCTCTCTAAAGCATTTAACATTTCTCCCCAATTTGTTCTGAAAAGACCCTGAGTTTGTAAAATACTAGTCTTTCTTCTTCTACCTGTTTCTTCTTCAATCAATGAAATTTAATTGATTCTTTAGTTGATCATCATTCAAATACCTCCCATTAAATAGAGGCATATCCCAAGGCTCTCCAGGGTCCTCCTCTCTCAACACTCTTGCCCGTGGGGTTCTCGTCAGCTCCCAGTGGAATGAATTATCATCTCCATGCAGATAAATCTCAGATTCATATGTTCAAGCCTAGCCTTTCTCTCAAATCCTAGTCTAGCACCAACAATTATTTTTTAGCTGTTTTGAACTCAGTGCCCTACAGATATCTCAAAATCAGTGTGTCCAAATGAGGACTCATTAGCTGACCCTAACCTTTCCCCTCTTCTGAATTTCCCAATAAATGGTGAAGACACGATGATCCTTCAATCTCCAAGGTTTGCAAACTTTGTCATCCTCAAAACATCTCTCCCATTCACCCCACACACCTAATAACTTGCCAGGTCTTTAAATTTTTTTTCTATACCACATCTCCCCACTTGGTCATTGTCAATTCTGGAATCCGCCATCCACAGATGCCAAATTGATATTCCTAAAGCACAGGTCTGACCATGTCAATCCTCTACCTGAAAACCTTCAGTGGTGCCAAGAATAGTAGCATATGCTTGTAAACTATGCTCCTGGGAAGGCTAGGGCTTTTTGGAGTTCAAGACTTCTACTCTGCAGTAGAGCTAAAACTGGTTAGTGCTCCCACTAAGTCAAGCACTGACATGGTGAGCCCCCAGCAGTGAGGGGCCTTCAGGCTACCTAAGGAACAGAGAAAGTCAAAGCTTCCATACCAAACAGCAGTGGGGTTGTGGCAACAGGTGGTGGTTGTACTTCAAGTACAGGAGAAATAGGGAGACTCAGTCTCCAAAACAAACTTAAGTGGCTCCATACAGCCCTCAACATAACATTCCAGGCTTATTATACATTGTTCCCTTGGTGTAGTCTACATTCCAAATGATGTGGCCCACTTGTACCCTCTATCACATCCTCTAAGGCAATTAATCTGCTTTGCAAATGATTTGGTGATGCCTAATGTAAGAGCAAGTAGGACTCAAGAATGTGGATTTGAGGATAATCCAGGGTTGGGCTTTAGAGCAGAAACAACACAAAGGGGAAAAAGGGATTCAAGCGCAGAAGACAGAAATAAAACAGAATTGGCTAACATATTGTCAAGATTTTTAAGTGAGAATGTGTGGTCAGAGGGGCCAATGGACACAGAAAGAAGAGTAGGACAGAGTTACTGAAAGTAGTGGTTAAGGCCAAGAAAAATTTTAGAAAGAGAGGGAAAGAGCTGCCAAGGTGAGTCAGTAACATTCTGACTAATTTCATAGTTCTGGATTGTGGAGAAGGAATGCTTGTAGGTTCAAATGAGATCAAAGGCCTGAGCAGTCCAAAGAGGAACTGCAGTGGAATGAAGATGCAAGTCATCAAGGTTGTAGGAGTTCACGAACTGCAAGGCCTGGGTGTTAAAGAGGGCATCTGAAGTCATCAAGGGAAATGGCAGGGGTTGGGGTGGAGGTGAAAACTCTGAGCAGGAGCGTTACACTTGAAAAAGCAATGAGAATGACTAGACCAGCAAGTCTACAAACCATGGCTTTCCCACATTTTAAAAAACTGAAAAATAATTTCAATGGCCTGCAGATAGGCTCTTTGTGAACAGCTACTTGCTAGAACTGAGCATCTACTGCACAAACCAGAGAAAGGTAGAGTCTGATGATGAATTCCAAGAAGAAAAATGACTCGCTGCATCAAGGTGCTGGTCTCTTAAAATAATAAAACCTATTCATATCAACTGATTTGCAAAAACAAAATCAGAAAGCATTCTTTGCCTCTCACTACACAGTTGCCAGAAATAGGGCCCTCCAAGTACAACTAATGATACAGCATCCCCCTACAATTAAAAAAGAACTTGTCAGGGCTTCCCAGACACTGCTTAACAATGGAACTAAAGGTCTGGTTGCATTCAGAGATGATTCAGAAGCTTATGACAAAGTCCAGCCAGCCAGTCAGTATTTGATTGGGTTCTTTTTCAATTTCTATATTTTATTTTCTTCTCTTATTTTTAAAAAGCTCCTCCTACTTAGTCACATTTTTGATAAGAGTAAAAAACCTTTTCTGCAGTGCTATTTCAGCTATATCATGATGCTTACTACCTATGCAATGTTAGCCAAGTTATTTAACCTCTGTGCCTCACTTTTCTCATCTATAAAACAAGGGGGGCAGAGGATTTCTAAAGTCTCTTCTGGCTCTAAATCCTATAATTACTATATGACATAAAAAATAAGAGAAGTGATCACTCTCTTTCTTGACCCTTTCTATCAATGTCTCTGGATGGCTAAACTATCTGTTTGAATTTTATATATACATATGTGTATTTGTATATACATTTCTATTGCATGTATACACACATATACTTGTTTATCATGCTTTCTATTCAGAAAATAGTAATACCAGAAATCCCAGCTCAGCTACTTACTCCACGTGTGATTTTAGAGTCAAATCTCTTAACTTTCTGGACTTCTTCTTCATCCTTCAAAATGAGGGGCCTGGCCTAGAGCTTCTGTTAAATCCTTTCTAACTCTAAATCCTATGATGCCATAACTAAACAACCTCTTGGACAGCAAGGATATCAAATTAGTCAACACTTGAAGAAATTAATTCAGGCTATTCAATGGAAGGTCAAATACCGCAGCTGAAGCTTAAATACTTTGGCCATATAATGAGAAGATAAGACTCACTGGAAAAGACCCTGATGCTGGGGAAAATTGAAGGCAAAAGGAGAAAGGGAAGGCAAAGGATGTGATGTATAAATAATGTCATGGAAGCAACAAACCTGAGCTTGGATGGATTTGGGGAGATGGTGGAGGGTAGGAAGGCCTGGCATGCTATGGTCCAGGGGATCACGAAGAATCCTACATGACTGAATATCAACAATGTTCCTCTTATTCTAAGTTTCATGGTTCTAAATGCCTCAACTGAAACAATGGTTAAAATAAACCAAAAATGTCTTAGCATAAAAAAAATTTTTTTTAATTTAAAAAAATTTAAAAAAAAAAATTAAAAGCTCCTGCTAGAGCAGAAAACAATCCAGTTAACTACGAGTTCTGGCTCATCAGGTCATAAGGAGTGGTGTTTTACCAGATCCAGAAAGCACCTTGTGAACTGTCAATGCAGACAGAGGTTCTGATGCGAAAGGAGGCAGGAAAACAGTGTAATGAAAAGAAGGTCAACAGACAGTGACTGCCTCTCTCCAATGGAGGAGAGAATGTGGGAAAGATAAGGAAGTAAGGAGTCAGAGACATGGGTGAGAGAATGTGCACAACACACATACAAGAAGTACTGGCTGTCTGCTCATTAATTAAACAGGAACACTGGATGAATTCTGAGTCTTACTAAGGCACCAACAGGAACAGGATCAGAAACGCTCATGGAGATGGTGAATTACCTGTTTTCTTTAGAGGGGGGTTAGTGGTTGTGGGAAGAGCATCACTCAACTCAAAACCTACAAAATAAGACAAGAGATCTAGTCACAAGTCATGGCACCCAAATCAATGCAAGGGAAAGCTTGCTTCAATTCTCTGAGCAAGAGAGCCTCTATCCCAAACCAAAAGTCAGACTGAAAACAGCCCAGGCAGTGAGCTACCACCTAAGTCTTCCTACCACCCCCACGTATGCCACTTCTCCCCTACTCCAGCTCACATCCATCCAGCTACCTGAACGGAACACATTTCAAGGAGAGCCTCTGCTCCTAAGCCTCCTGCATCAGCTTCCTACTGAACACAAGGAGGCAAACATTCAATTAAATTCCATTATTTATTTGTTAGGTAGCCACTACTACCAGGCACTCTACCAAGCACCAGGATATAAAGACAAAACTGAAATAGTTGCTGCCCTCAAGAAGCTTACATTCTACTGGAAGAAACAATTTATCCACAATTAAAAATACAATATATAGAAAATAAATGCAATTAGGGCCCAACTGGTGGGAATAATGAATCCCATTAAGGGGGCATACAACTCAATTCAATTCACAATATTTGAAATTACAATTATATGTAAAATATGACAATTAGCTTGATCTCTGTTTTTCTTTTTCACAACTACAACCCAAGTGATTGCCTGGTGCTGCTTCTCTGTTCTCTTCTGTTTTTATTTTAGTGGCTGAGGGTGGGGACATATGCCTGCAAACCATTTGGGCCTCGATCCCACCTGGCCTTGTTCCTTGGATCTGTGCCCCAAGCATAAGAGGACTGGCTTGGCAGCCTTTTTCAAGCCTTCCCTTCACTACTAGGATTAGAACTTTAAAAGCCTTAAGAACTCTGACAAATGAAATGACCAACTATGTCTCCAGAGGACCTATGATGAACCATGTTACCAACTTGGTGATATTCTCAAGGTGCAAAGAGACATTAAGTTTTTGTACAAGACAATTGTGTGGATTTGCTTTACTTGGCTCTGCTTGTCGGATACAAGAGGTTTGAGTTTTCTTTCTCTTTTTCTGCCTTAATGAAGATGAGGCGAGTTAGCATCCGGTGGTTAGCAATAGTGATACCAAAAAAGAGGGCCACTGAATTTTTTTTTAAATACAAAGCAAAGTTCAGAAGGAAGCAAAGACAAAAAGACGTTTCTGACCACCAAGTAAAATCAGATCAACAACTATCTATTAAGTGCCTACTGTGTACCAGGCACGGTTAAGTGCTGAGATAAAAAGAAAAGCAAAGAGTTCACATTCTACTGGGGGAGAAAACATGCAAACAATTATATACAAAGAAAATAGTAAGATAATAAACATGCACAGTATAAATTGGAAATTATCTCCAAAGGAAGGAATTAGAATTAGGAGGGATGGCACAAGGCTTCCTGAAGAAAGCTAAAGAAACCAGGAGAAGATACAAGGAGGGAGAGATCTCAACATGGCAGCAATTAGTGAAGATGCACACAACTTGAAGTTGAATCATCTTGTTAGAGAAAAAGCAACAGGCAAGGGTCACTGGATTGCAGGGTCCATGGACAGGAGTAAAGTGTAAGTAGACTAGAGGAGAAAGATTCAGTCACACCTATACTTTGAGAAGACCCAATTGAACAGTTTAGATCAAGAGTACAGGAGAGAGATTTGAAGCAAAGTGACTAGACTAAGGCTACTTAATTAGTCTAGACAAGTGATATCAAACTCAAAGAGAAACTGATCCCTATAGACAGCATATCGATTAATGAAAACAAATCAACACTGTCTATGTAATATTGTATTTTTATTTATTTATTTTGTTAAATATTTCCCAATTATATTTTAATCTGGTTCAGCCTATACTTCCAAGTCCACAAGCCAAGTTTGAGGTGTAAGGGCCTGACCAGAATGGTTACAGTGTCAGGGGAGAAAAGAGGGTATATATGAGAGATAAGCAACATTCTCAGATTCATACACAGCTAGTGAGTGTCTGAGGCTGGATATGAACTCAGGTTTTCCTTACTCTATCTTCTGGCAACTGATTGGCTTATGAGGGTGAAAGGGAATGAGGAATCAAGGGTATCACCCAGTTTGCAAGGCTGGGTGCTGCCCTCAATACTAACAGGGAAGTCAGGAAGAGTTTGAGGGGAAAACATAAGGGTCCAGTTTTATACACCCTGAATTTAAGGCATCTACAGGACACCCAGGTCAAGATGTGAGACTGGTCCAATCGCTATCACTTATTTTCACCTTCTGCTGAGTTTTGTTTCCTCTTTCTGATGGTTCCTCCTATTGGTTTTAATTTTTACTTACAACTTCACTAATGTGAAAATATGTTTAATGGGTACGTAAATGTAAAGCCTATATCAGATTGTGCTGCGCTGTCTTGGGGAGGGTAGGGGGGAGGAAGGGGGAGAAAAATTTTCAACTCAAAAGCATATGGAAGTGATTGTTGATAAATCAAAATAAATTAATTTAAAAAAAAGATGTGAGACTGGAAGTTAGCAGACAGGTTAGGACTGAATAGATAAGAATCATTTGCATATCTAATGATTGAATTCATGGCATCTAATGAGATCAAGAGAAATAGTATGGAGGAAAAAGAGAAGAGAGACCATGAGAGAGCCTTAGCAAGGGGGCTGGAGGAGGATACCAACAGTTAGTGAACATGACATGGCATAGTATCTAGAAATTATTATCAACTTTTTTCTTAATTTTTAGGGGCTTCACCATGAGACTATCAATTTAATTGATGCGGTAATACATGTAAGCAATTCGAAAACCTTAAAGCATTATGTAATTGTGGGCAATTATCATTATTTCCAGTCATATTTTTAATTTTTATTTCAAGTTCCGGATTTTCTCCTTCTACCCCTCACCCACTAATTGAGAAGGCAAGAAATATGATATCCGTTACACATATGAAGTCAGACAAAATATTTCATATTTATGCATTAGTTAAAGAAAGAAAAAGAAAGTAAACAAAAGTATCCTATCTGAACTCAGAATTCGTGAGTTCTCTCTAGCCTTTCTCATCATGAATCCATTGAATTTGTCGTGGATAACTGTATTGATCAGAGGACCTCCGCCTTTCACAGATAATTGTCACTGGTTACAATGTTCTCCTTTTGTCACTGCTGGCCAGTTGTTTCAGTCACGTATAATTCTTTGTGACACCATCTGGGATTTTCTTGGCAAAGATACTGCAGTGGTTTCCCATCTCCTTCTGCAGCTCATTTTAACAGATGAGGAAGTGAGTCAAACGGGGTGAAGTGACTTGCTCAGGGTCACACAGCTAGTTAAGCGTCTGAGGCTAGATCCCAACTCACAAAGATGTGTCTCCCTGATTCCAAGCCCAGTACTCTCCTACTTAACTCTTTAATTCACTTTGGATCAGTTCATTTCAGCTTTTGCAGGCTTTTCTCAAAGCATCTCCCTTTATCATTTCTTAGAGCTCAATAGTATTTCATCATGATCATAAACCACAACGTGTTCAGCCATTCCCCAGTTGAGGGGCAATTCCTCAGTTTCCAATTCCTTCTCAAGACAAAGAGTTGCTATAAATATTTTTGTATACCTGGGTTCTTTCCCTCTCTTTTTGATCTCTTTGGGTTACAGACCTAGCAGCAGTATTCCTAGGTGAAAGGTATGCAGTTTTATGGCCTCTTGGGCATCATTCCAAGTCGTTCTACATATTGGTTGGACTAGTTCACAGCTGTTCAAAAGTGCATTAGTGTTCTGGCCAACCACATGTACTTGTTAAGCTCAGCCTGTTCTATATGGCTAGGTATGTCCCAAAATAAGCACCATAAGATTTTTAAACCTAATGGGTCTTACCGCTTAGTAAGTTTCACTATGGTGTAGTAAATCTTTGCCTACTGAAACCTTACTCATTCTCTAAGACTCAGCTCAAATGTCACCTGCTCCACAAAGTCTTCACTGATGACAGGGGCTCAGAAGACTTAAGAGCTGAAAGGTGCTTTAGCGATCATCTAGTTCAGTCCAAGATGCAAATGCAGACCCTGTGACAGCTAGAAATCAACTCTCCTTCCTCCGAACTCAGGTAAATGTAAGCTACTTGACAGCAAAAGCTGTTTAGGTTTTGTTTTTATGTCTCTAATGCTTAGCAACAAGCCCTGCACATAGTAGGTACTTCATAAATTTGTGTTAAAATGAATTATGATAGTTTCTTTGTACTACAATTATTCACTACCTAGAATGCAATAACCTGCATCTATGGCTTACTCCCCCTACTAATGTATCTCCTTGAGGGTGGGGACCAAGCCCTGTGTGCCACTCAACACAAAGTCTCACAGAAGAAGTTGTGAGGCTATTAAATAGAGTGAAGTAAAGTGACTTTAACCAGAGATGTAAGCAGTCTCATAAGCCTATCACAGGAACGACTGTATATGAACAAATGTGTATGAAGCTAAACAGAGTTCAGACTTGAAGAGACTTCTCTCAAGATTATCATCTGAGCAAATGACACATATCTACCTTTGGGATTAGTCTTTAAAAAGTTTTAGGGTGCAACTTACCCAGATTAGATTCATCCAGCCCATCTTTCAAACTCTTCCCAGCTCCTATTAAAAAAAAAATTCATAAGCTTAACTGGTTTTACAGGAAATAACTACAAAATACTCATTTTCAAAATATTCATTTTTCCTTTGAAGAACAAAGTCAGCTACATCAATGACCCCCAGGACCCTTACAATGACCACACATAATAGCAAAGTGAAATTGGGAGGCTAGGTTAAAGAGGACAAAATTTCAAGAGCTTGAAAGGGAACGAGTTGTCCAAACTCCTGACTAACCCACTGAGATCTTAGGATCTGAAAGCTCACTCCTCCTATCTTCTGGGAAAAATCTTCCCCTTTAACTACATAACAGCTAAGAGGAAAGAGGCTCAAAAGCCAGCCTTGACCTGACCCTCCTGTTTTCTCAGGTCACTATCATCTACTATCATCCTCTCTGTCAGTTGAAAATGATCAGAAAACCAAAAATGCCCTGTTGTGTTACTCATACCCACCCATGTCCATTTCCACAAATGGAAATCCAAAACGTTAAGGTCAAATTCCTTAAAAAATAAAATACCTCTTATTTCTGTGGCTATTTAAAGCTTTGCTCATAACAGCTCCATTTTAAAAACAAAGAAGCAGAAGCTCAGAGAAGTCAAATGACTTGCTCCAATCACACAGATAATAAGTGCTGGGGCGGGGATTCAAATCCAAAGTACCATATTCTTTCCACTAAACCAAAGGTGTTAAACTCAGGCCCACAGTCCCAGCGATGTGCAAAACTCCCAAGGGCAACTGAAGCACGTTAAAACGCAAATGGGAAACACTTAATTAAATAAAAATACAACACAACTAACCTGAATTTGTGGTTTTCTACGTCAATATGCAGTCCCCAGAGATCCTTTTTGATCTGAGTCTGATACTACTGCACTACACCACTGTGGGGTTTCATTCTGCTTTTGGTTCCAACTTACAATTTCATCAGGTTAGAGAATTCCCAGAGTGGAAGCTCCCTCCACCAACCCAGAACAACCTATCATTAAGCTTACTGTTTTTGAGAGTTATCTGCTTTGACTAATTGCCTCAAAAATACTGGATTATGATACGTTTCATTGTATAGATTTGGGCTTAACCTTCATAGATAACGGTACAGGTGTATCAGGGGTCCATCAGGCTACACTATGAGTTTTACAAGGGGCATTACTGAGGAATAAATTCCCATTGATACCCAAACCAGTTATGACACCCAAATGTACAGTGTCTCTCACCAGGATTAAGATTTCAGGGATTTACTGGGCTCTAAAACAACTGATCAATCCCTACAAAATGGAAAATAACCATGGAGGAAGATCTCTTGCTACTTAAGTTCCTCAGCACCTGTCCAGATTTGGGGAAGGAACAGTCCTTAACAAACTATTAATCCTGAAGAATTCTGTGAGCATGATTCCCTGTGTCTATCTCAACTTAGAAAGAAAATCCTTTTACCCAATGATACTGCTACTGGGCAAATACCCAAAGATGGTCAAAGACACACACAAAAAAGGAAAAGCATAGGTATAAAAATGTTATAGCACCACTTTTTGTAGGAGCAAAGAAACAGAAGGAAATTGGGTGCTCAGTTACTCACATATGACTGAACAAACTGTGGTTATACGAATGTAATGAAATATTGTTCTATAAGAAATGACTAATATGAAGAATTCGGAGAGATTTGAGAAGACTTGTATTAATCACGGAAGATCAAACTAAGTAGAGTAAGAATTTACATGATGATAATAACAAGGAAAACAACACTAGTGAAAGACTTCAAAATGGATGAAATGGCCAACTGACTTAAGAGGAAGTATGGAGGTGAAGCATGGTTTTCCCCTCTGAGTAGAGAAGTAGTGTCTTACAGGTTTGGAACAAGGCATACAGTATCAGACATGGTCAGTTTATCACTTTGTTAAATATCTACTAAGTACCAAGCACTACGACAGGTGCTAGGGCTACAAAGACAGACAAAGGCAAACAAGTACCAGACCCCAAAAAACTTACATCCAACAGCAGAAACCACATGTACACATATAGGCATATACAAAGCAGTTAGAGGGGAATCTTGGGAGAGGAGGCACCAGCAAGCAGCTGGAGGAACCAAGAAAGACCTCATACAGAAGACAGCATTTCATCTGAGTCTTGAAAGCAAAACCAAGAACTTCACAAGATGTCAATGAAGATGGAGAACATTCCAGGTACAGGGGACAAGCAGTACAAAATCCCAGAGAGAGGAGTTGAAGATAAGAGAGTGGATGACTGATCCAGTGTTTAAGACAGTGTGCAGCACATAGCAGGCACTTAATCAATGCTAGCTGACTAGGCTACAATCAGCTAGAAAAAATGCGGAGAAGATGAACTCAAGGGCACATGAGAGGGTTTGCCCTTGGAAGGGAGAAGAGTCACCTCACTCAGGCAATAGGCATTTATTAAGTGTCTACTATGTGCCAGGCACCGTGCCAAGCTCTGTGGATACAAAGAGAGACAAAAGACAGTTCATGACCTATAGAAGCCCACGATCTAATCTCATTATCAGGCACAGAAGAATGAAAGGGGGTTAGGAGGTTGATGTCAAAGGGCTTTGAGAAGCTTCTTCTTAAAGAGGAAGTTCACAACAAATGATTTTATCATATAGCATTTTAAAGTTTGCCAAACACTTTACATATACTATTGCATTTGAACCTAACAACACTGCCATGTGGGTTCTAGAGGCATTATTATCCCCAATTTGCAGATGACAAAAATGAGGTTGAGAGAGATGAAGCACCTTATCCATGGTGACAACGCTAAGTAGATGTCACAGAGGGAATGTAAGGCCAGGGTATTCCTGACTGCAAATCCAGCACAACGTCTACTACGCCACGCTGCCTTTGCAAAAACAGAGATAACAAAAAATATGCAGAAAATTTTTAAAGTTCTTAATATTTCTATAGTGAAATGAGTTATAAAGGAATGACTGTTTTCATTATCTGTGAGACAAGACAACTTTTTCATCATTGGACAGACGAACCACATTTCAACACTAACACCTCAGTTCTTGATGTGATGTTATTACCTCTATCCACTGAGTGGTGTCAAAACTCAAAACGAAACTAATCTCTGCCTCCATGTGTACATTTAAAAAACCACAAATTTTCATTATCTATATTGTACTGTATTTTTATTTATTTTGTTAAACATTTCCTAATTACATTTTAATTTCATTTGGGCAGTTTTGGAACCCATCAAACTTGAGAGCGATACCTCTGTACTATACCTCATTACCTCTCATAAAGAAGTAGAAAAGGCAATTAAGAAGACAGTTGGGAAGAATGGCAAGGAAAAAAATTCAAGAGGCACCACAATACTGAGAGCACTGAGGAATTTTTTAATAAGATCTCAGGGAGGGAAAGATACCAAAAGCACGTAAAAATTCATGGATATTACTATTTTTTAAAAGTGATCAAAAGAACATTGATAACTATGAGGTACAGCAGATAAAGTGCTGGGCTTCGAGTCAGGAGGACCTAAATTCAAATCCAACTTCAGACACTTAGCAGTGTGACTCTGGACAAGTCATTTAACCTGTTTGCCTCAGTTTCTTCCACTGTAAAATGGGAATAATAATAATAGTATCTACCTCATGGAGTTGTTATGAGGATCAAATGATATAATATTTGTAAAGTACCTATCAAAACGTCTAGCACACATTAAGCACTTACTAAATGTGTTACCTCCCCTCCCTATTGATTCATATGCCTGTCTTTTGATCTTCATAAAATCTTTTATGAGGATGAGCTACACAAGTATGGAGAACAGCCTTGGAGAGAAGATGAAAAGGGAACATACAGGCTTTTGAAAACCATTCTCAGACCCTATCTTTATGATCTCTGTGGTCACACAAAGGATTAAAAGGTCCAAATTTTCTGCTCCACAGAGTCCCTTATATATATTAAGATTCCTTAATAAACGTAACCAAAGAAACAACTGTCCAGTGACCGTTTGATTATTAATCTGAAGCAATGCATAAAAGCAAAAGGATAATAAATCTGCATAGGGTCCAGTGGAAAGAGATCTACTTTCTATGGTTAGGTATTCCAGTTGCTCCTATTAAGAAATAACAGCATGCTGACTGTTCTAAGCCACAAGGTATCACAGGGCCTCTTTGAAGAAATCCCTGATTACTCAAGAAATCAGCCTAATTAATAATCCATACAGGAGAAATTAAATGGATGAAAAATATCTAACACATACACCTGGGTCAGCATAATGCTTGGACCCAAAACTAAATAAGAGCAAAGAAGTGTAGTGAACTGTATTTGCTAAAATGGGGAGTGCTTTTTAATAATTTCAAATCACACCCTAGCATGAACAGCCATATCTCATGGAGATACTGTATAATTATAAATCTTAGAACACTTCGATCCATAAGAAATTAAAGTTGTGTGTGACCAATGGAAAAACACATGGTAGACACAAATAGGTTACAGTATATTACTAGTGATAACCCATGCACTTAAGTGGTATAAGGGGAAAATGTGATCAGAAAAGACGGTAGCCTTTGTTGTATGGCACACACAAGTGATACCAAATGGGCATGTGGAGTGCTCCACTGATTCCCATGAAATGTAGAAAGACAGAATCTGGGCAGACTGCTCCTGTGCCTCCTTGTGAGGTCCCTGGCCTATGTGTGGACCATGGTAGAGCCAGTTCTAATTAGCTCCCTCAACAAGGTCACATGCAAAAAGACCTTGGGCTCGTTGAACCTCTGGAAATTGAACCACAGGATCAGGTAGTTAGAGATGCAACTGAATGAGAATCTGAAGGTGGCCAGGCCCAAGGACTTCTTACTGGTAGGGAACGATGACCCAGAAGTGGTCACGACCAAGAGAGATCTGTGCCTGTCGCCACTACCATTGGCAGAGAATGTTAGGACCGTGATCAAGTGCTCCTCTATCCACACCTCTAATCTATTCATACTGAGCCAAAGACCAGGAATAACAAATGGAGATTTTTTTTTTTTACTTTGCAAGACATGCAAGTTATTTCCACTA